GGTTCCCTTAAGGCTGATACACGAGCGGAAAAGACGATCGACCGACCGACCGACCGACCGTTTGGATTAACCTCGGAGATCGGTGGCTTCTCTGGAGTCTATACTTCAACGGGATCGAGAGTATGGTTAAACGCTTGGAGCAAACGGGGCCAGGAAGGTGTTACCGGGTCAAGATGTGGATTAGGATCTCGAGGGGTCACCTTGCGAAACCCGACCTAGGTCTATGTACCTACCCCATAAATTATGTCCGCCTAAACACATAGTTTCCCTACGATGTAGCTATTCCTACATCGATTAAAGTCACGGAAATACGAGGGAAAGCACTCGAGCTCGGTTGGGGAAGCGTTCAAAGATCGATCTGTGTTGCGAATACTGCGATTAAAAAGAAATTAAAAGACGGAAAGTCGACGATCGCTCGTAATACAGCTCGATGGAACGCTAATTAATCAAATACCAGCTACACGAGAGACTAATTGGTATACACATACCACTATTTACACGAATATACGGTGGTTTGAATTTTCTTTGGAACGAGTACTCTTCTCCAGTCTAAGTGGAAGCCATTCACCAAACTTAATTCACGTTAGGATCGTCGTCTCCTCACGTTCGCCGGGTTCCTTTTACAAACGCTAGACACCTTCGTGCCAGAGATCGGCCATAGAATACGTACGTGTATTGTTACTACGCGAAGTAACGAACGTTTTGTCGCTTGAACAAAACCTCCCTTGGGGAGAGCGGAAAGTAATCTAATATCGTGACGATAGGAAACGCATCCGACGTGGAATTTCATCGCCTCATGGATGTCGTTCGGAGAAATTATGGCGGATAAGCTACACCTCGAAATTTACGGTATCGTTCGATTACGCGCGACGCGTCCACGCTATTCGCTGCAGGTAATAACCGGTGTCGCTTTTATGGGACGCGTTGTCGATTCTTACCGCCATATTCTCCTCCGTCGGATGTGTCTCTTTTATAAATTCCACAGGTGAATGTGGATTAACGCGATCCCGTAAAACAACGCGCGTATGCGTTCTCCCATGTCGCGGGAACAATTCGTTTTTCATTTCTTCTTATTTCTTCGATCGATTTGGTGCACGTCACGATGCGACCATTGACGAAATCACGGAAAGATAACCGAACGGTTTACGGGTTCGTTGGAATCGATTGTTACACGATAGTGGCAACTATCCGCGCAACAACTGTTTCGTTCACGTCGCAGTTTACCGTCAGCGCTTTATTGCGGCCGGGGCATCAGGTTTCGGCACGTAAACCGACTCCTAAAGTGGTGGAGTAATCGTTGAACTATTTCGAGGGTCCCGTTACATTTATTCGGACAAAGGACCCCCGCGTTGTTGGCTAAGAGGGTACGCATAAATGTTTGATAACAAGACGCGATAGAGTGCTGCACACGGTGGTTGATGCGTGTGTCGTTTACCGAGACCTGGTTGCCAAGAGGGCAGGGTGTGTGTTTAGCAGCGCGCATAGTTCGCATACCGACCCTTCCTAGCATGGTATGTTATAATTAGTGCTTCAGCGAGCGCACGCAACATTGATATGTCCACGAGCTTCCGAATACTTCCTTAATGAGATGGCTTTGCAAACACCGGGTCAAGTGTTCCCGTGCACCTTCAATCCCCGGACTTTCTATCCCTGTACTTTACGTATCTTTGAGGCTCACGGAAAGCAGGCAGATATTTACCGACACCGACACGACCGTTCTCGTTAAAACTTCATTCGGAAGTTTTAGTCCGGCCGCGTACCGATCGGACCGACGCTGGGGAAATAAAGCGCGCAGAGTCGCGTTCGGGAAATTGTTCCGTTTGAAACAGACCGGTTAATATTCCGCAGGAAATTGCTTGTCCAGCTACCTCGCGACGGTTCGGGAGGTCCTTTGATCTCCCGCCGCATCGTAAGAAACGCGCGACGATGCAATTTGCATTTAGAAATCCGATTATTACGAGGCGATTCAAATTTTCATAAATAGACAATTAACGCGGGGGAAATGGAAACGGCACCACTTCCACCGGAGTACGGTTCACCTGTCCGCTTTTGAATTCAAATCCTGCGCGAGGACTATTAATTATGGTGTGGTTGACAAACCTGGCTCGAACTCTGCAACCCCTGCCGTCACAATATCAAATCGCAACTCCACCCGTCCCTCCGCTTCAACTGTCGCACTGGCACTGTTTTGCTCCCGTTTCTCGCGGCTAACGTCGATAATCCAACAACACAAGCAGCTGTGATACGCGGTGCAACGAAGGTGAGAACGACGATAATCTCACGGAAAGCACCGGGGGTTGAATAAAGAGCGAATTCGAGCGTCTACAGTTTGCCCAAGGGAGGTAGCAGTTTCTTTTAAGTATGCTTCTTCGATAATAATCGTTACTTCGTATCGTCCGCGAAGTGGTCACACGAGGAGGATGCTGTTCGACGTTTTTTCAACTATAAAACTTCTCTGCTAACGAGTTGTTTGTCGGAATATTTCGTTTTTAATGTACCAGGTAGACGTATCGAATTGGCAACAAATTAACGCCATTTGGTGGCTCTTTAGTTTTTCGATCGGAGTTAACCGGAGGAGTCAAGAAGGCAGATATTATCAATTAATCACGTGTCCTGTGGATACGCAGCGAGCTCGGTCGGATCGTCTGACGGTGCAGTTACGTCGCGTCGATGCCACGACAACGTGGTGGTACCGTCGCGTCGCGACGGTTATCAATTATTCGCCGATAAAGCTGCCATCCAGAACCTCGGAAGCAAGCGACACTCGCTCCCCGCCCTCCTACTCATCACGGTATCCCTTCAGCCGCCAATTGAAATTTATCGACACGCTATAATTACATGCCACGAACTCGATTATGCATTGCCGCGATCCTCATTAGGGGTGTACGCCTAACTGCTTTGGAGGAGAGCGTGACGGACACGGTGATCAAGTCGTCCCCGCTGACTTTCGGTGACAATGAACGCGTCACGACTGTCACGAGTACCGTACACTGCATGGACGGAACAAGGATAGTCGGAAACCAGGAAAAGGGTGCGAAGGTCAGTGGCGAGAGATTGATTGGAAAAACTTGCAAACGACTGTATCTTTTTTTCTTCTGCCGCAACGTTATTCACGCTCGGCTGCTTTGAACGCAACCACAACCTTCGAAATCGTAAAAATACTAAAACTGTGAGGGCAAGCTTTCGAGCGGACAGAGAGGAAAATGGAGTTTGCAAGATAAGAAAACGACAGGCACTACGACGTATTAATCGTTGCGGGTTCGGCGGCGCTGGCCCCTTGAAAAATGATTCGGCAAACGAGGCTGCGGCACCGAACTCTGGAACTGACTGCGCCGGCTAGTTCGCGAAGAACCGAACACCGGCGTAACCGTGCTAGTTTAATTGCGAAACTTCACGGGACTATCGCAGATTACGGAAAATATCGAAAAACGCCGGCAATATCGCGGTTGTCCTATTTTTATCCGTATTTCTGCTGTTTGTTCGACGAGCTACACTCGCGGAAAGGAAGGAGCGCGCAACGAAAAAGCACGGGAACAGGCCGGGGGAATAGCGAAGTGGTAAAGAGGTATCGGTACGAGTGAGTGGATGCGGGTGGGGGGGGGATAAGGGTTCTCAAGTTTTATTTGCGCTCCGTCGGGGAACGCAGTGTTTGTTTTCCGCGCACGGAACTCGTTGAAAGGGTTCGGATATCGAAGGGATTCGCAATAGGGATTAATCGTTGGTTACGTGGCAGGCTTATTTACCGATACGTTGCCTGTGACGGGAATGGAAATGGGGAAACGTTCTCGCGACGTCACGCGACCGACCGCGTCCGTTCGGGTTTTATTTTATCGGAGGGACCGTCGCGCTGCGCCGGAAAAGTCACGCGACACCGTTCCACAGCGACACGAGCTTTCATTCGTTTGCCGCTCGATCCAGAATTTGTATGGTGCTTCGAGCCTCGAGAGCCTCTCGAAAGACAGCGAGTTTTAATTGCACCGGCCGGAGAGAAATTATCGCGGGAAAGCCACCGAGTCCAATTTAAATCGAATGCGGCGACCTCTGAAGTTCCTCGAGAAAAATCATAACGAGTAATCGGCCGAGATAATTGTCAATTAAGAGGACTCTCGTTCCGTCGCGTTTCATTGTACTTTGGGAGAGAGAGGGAGAAGAAAGTTTTCAGCATTCGCTCTATCTTATTGCGCGATCCACAGTCATTGTTTCATCGTCTTGTCGATCGAAAAATTACTTCGAACGATGTAACAGCGTTTAAATTGAGACGGCCGATTTTCAGGCTCATTAAAGGAAATTATAGGGACGCGATCGGGCGAAATAATTGTCAATTGAAACCGTTTCGAGCCTCATCGAGCCCTGTCTGTCTGAAAGAAGCGTCACGGCGTGCCCTCGATTAATAATCGTTCCGATTGAGAGGCGTCGACGGTTGCCCACCTATTCACTGGCAGAAACGTTCATTCAGGAGAAAGACAAAAAAAAAAAAAAGGACGAATCTCTGCTCGGAGAATGCCTTTATGAGGGCCTTCCGCGCTGTTATTGCGGCCAACTCGGAAACAGAACATCGCGGGCCGCGTCCGCGTAACGGAATGCAGAAAGGAATTTGGAGTTCGAGTGGCAAGGGGCAACCGTGCAACGAACAGTGACGTACGTTTAATAACGCGAACCGTATCCTGAGCCATGTTGCGTCAGGAGGGGTCGACGATGTAACGGCGAAAGGGAGCGCGATGCAGTGGCCACGGTTCGCTGCATATTAGCCGTGGTAGCTACGGATTCTTGAAACGCCAGAGATCTTTTTTTTTTCGCCAAACCTAGGAATCAAACTGAACGAATACAACTGGTGAGACACGGCACGAATTCCTATGACGAATCCTTGATAATTAAATCGCGAACGCATTCCTCGCATTAATATACATAAATTAGCCGCTCGTAGCGAGAACGCAGTCGTCTAAATTGTCGAATCGAAGGAGACCACCTCGTAACTAAAAGAAAGACAACTTTTTACTCACGTGTACAGGGGTACTCCGGCCTCGTCCTTGAACCAAAAAACCATATGCAGGGTGTCCTCTCCAGGTGGACTGATGTCGCATGGTAATTCGGCTGGCTTTCCTTCCACAACGCTGATGTTTACCAACGGTACTGCAATCGAAACATCGGTCACGTCGTTACAAGAAGCCTTAAAGTTACAAAAACAAGGCGAATCGTGTTTACAATTAGGCAACTCGTTTCTTCGATAAGAATTTAAATAAAATGCGACGAACGTTTGTTTACCAATAAATTAGAGACCGTTTCGATCAGCTTTTTCAGCACCGAGGTTTTCTATTAAAATACTCGAAGGAACAATGGGCCTTGGCAAGAGTTTGGCTCGGTCCCCGTATGTCTACAGTCTGCACTGCTGAGATTCTACCAAAATCTACCAGGCAGAATCTCGGTCACTTGGATCGCTCGGGTCCCTCGCCCGGAAAATAACTGAAAATTTAAGGACGTACTTGCTCTTCTATACCTATTTGCGGGCTCCCCCCACTCCGTTGGTTTTTCTTATTCGATGGATTCTCGGTATATACCTGCGCCGGTCGTCCCTTCGTCTCGGTACACTCGCGAGTACAGAGGTGATATTTATTTATTTTTTTTCATGTTACAAGAGAATATTTTACCGGATCGGTATAAGGTATAGCTGGGGGTAAAGATAGGGTCGAATTCGCCGGAATATCTGGGCAACGTTCTTCGAAGGCGGAAATCCAGATATTCCGATGCGGACACAGTCGAACTAGGATGATCCTGGGTAGCGATATGTAAAGCGCAGTCGGTCCCGGATTAAGAGATCCGCTTATGAAATTCGGTTCCGGGAGGCTGCCGTAAACCAGCCGCAGCGTCCTACTTGCGGAAGACGATCCCTCGAGCAGGTAAGTGGGAAGCTCGAGGGTTTGATATCGCACGGAAAGGGCAATTGGGAATTTCCGTTAGGCTATTTCGAAGAAACGAGTTTCCATTCGATTCGGTCCGCTGCTTTCGTTTTCTCCACGGTGGACGACCGAAACAAGAATCGAGGCTTCGAGTACCAAGCGGCACGGTCCGCCTCGCCTCGTCTAGCCAAGACTATTTTTGCCGTCGACCAATCGAAACCGAACGGAACACAGGGATCGCCGTGCCGGGTCCCTGCATCGTCGAATCTGATTTGTCGCAGACGTGTAATCTTCTCATTCCTCTCCGTTGTTTATCGAGCGTGTCACGGGCGCGAGAATCCCGGAAAATATACCACGTTTATGAACCACGAATCCCCGGGCGTAGTCTACAAGATTCGCAGCGCGTAGTCGTTGGAAATCCGGCCAGCCATTCGAGCGGCGACCAAGCGACAAGCGGAAGGATTAGCATACGCTTCGTATTTATTTCGCGGTTGAGCCGTCCGCGTCGGATATAAATATCGCTTAAGGGGGACTCTTTATCATATAAACGCCCCGTGGTAACGGGGCTCATTTGAATTCGTGCTTTTTCCATGTCGTAACCGGGCTCGCGCGACGCGCAACAAGCAGTTACTTCCCGTTGGGCTGCTGCCACGGCTGTTGGACGCTTGTACGGCAACGGGTTCTTACTTTCCGCGGCGGAAAGCAGGAACCATCCCCTGGCTAGGTTTTTCCTAGATTCGTTATAATTTCATGCCGGTATTTTGTGGGCTATGCCGGCGATTTAATGTTTGCTTTTTGCCCGGGGACTAGCGCGCTCGATCCCGCCGCCTGGAATTTTTCATAACCGTCACGCTTCTTCCCTTGGAACTCGCGTAATCGGATTAGTCCCGCGCTGTTACCGCCGAGGCCGCCGCGTCCGCCATTTCCGTTTCCACGAAATTAACTGAAAAACAGCTCGGTAGTAGCCAAACGACCACGAAATTAATGGCGACCACGGGCTACCAGTAGGATCTCCGACGGCGGACAATGGGATTGCGTTAACGATTTTACAACTACAGAACATTTCGACGCTGCGCGAAGCGATATCGCGGCGAATCGGGACGGGAGCAATGGAGATCCGATTTATTCTGTCGATTTTACTTATTTACGCGGCGTTTCTACGTCGCTGGACACGAAAGCGAACGTTCCACGACCATCGATCAGCCGCGAATAGGGCGCGCGTGTCCGCGTGTAGTTTAAATACCAGAGAAGCCTTGAAAGCCGTTTCGATTAATGGAATTCCGCAACACGTCCGCAATTAACCCTCAAAGACCGGAGGCGCTGGTCGAACCGTCCAGCGGCGTGCTAATAGCGGACCGGGTCTCGTGTCGCATATTGGAAACGCATTTAATGTATTCGTTATCGACCTGAATCGACGCTCGAACTCGGCTCCGCGTCACCGATTTCTAAACGAAGACGACTCGCCGCTGTAAACCCTGGATTTACGTTCACGGGATTTTCGAGAGTCCTCGGTGCATCCGAGACACAGTGACCACTCGAAAATCGGTGGAAAATCGTCATGCGTACTTCGCCTCGTTCCGTTAAACGAGTTAATTAAGTATAGACGGAAATTCTGTGGCTTCTCGAAGGCTTTGAATGTTCGTCGACAGCCAACAAATTGTCCGATTGTCTTCTTCTCGTATGTATGTAAAAGAATCGCGGAAATCGCGAATCGAGCGCGTGGAGAACAAGGAGCCGTCGCGTCAGGGTCTTCTTTTCCATTAGGCTCGAGCAGCACACGTGGCACGAAGAAGATTGAACAAAAGTTTCCAAAGCCACGAAAAAGAAAAAAGAAAAAGCGGCGGTGGACGTCGAACTCCGTCGAGTTTCCCGTCGAACTTCCTAGCTGAACTCATCCGAAACTTACAGCTCTGTGTCGTGTCGTTGATCACCGCGACACGACAGCGTAACCAAGTATTTTCATAAATCTTCCACGATGACGCAGATCGATTGTCCGACGTTGCGTGGGATCGACGACACGTAACGATAACGTTTTAATCGTTGGCAAATGAACGGCCGATCGTTGCGTATCAATTTGTATTTGAACGTGCTGTACTTATCGATGCAAATTTCATTTCGAGCCTCCTAAGCGGTTGGACCCGAGCAAAATTACTTCGACCGATTTTTACGGCATGAAATCGACGACGCAACCGCAACTTTGCCTCGGAACCGTTTTTACGATATTTTCATCCTCGATGGGTAACGTCTGGCTTAACGGTAGCGATCGTCGCTGGCGAGCATAACCGTAGCGAAGATGAAGTTTCGAAAATGACCGTTTCGATTTTAATCAAATGAAATTGTAACTTTCGACTCGAGGAACGCAGCACATTTCCCAGACTTGACGCGTCCACGTAATAATATTCCTTCAATGCGCACGAAGATGAAAAGGAACGATCGAAAAGTTTCTCGAATTACTCGGTCTATATCGAGGTTGCTCCGAGGCAAAGGGAAGTTTGCAAGAAGCTGAAAAGGAAGGAGAAGTAATGGGAAGTTTACGAGAAACATTCGTCGTGAGCATTAACGGATGCGATGGATCGCGCCGCGCAAGATCGATGATTTCAACGCGACCCGAGCTCACCCGAGGACCATTCATCCTGCGATGTTTTCACGGGGGCGCGGGTGAGTCGAGTCGAGATGAGACGAGACAAGAGGCGCGAACGCAAGTAGGGGCGTCTCGACACGGCGGGGATAATGGGGTTCGTTGTAACAAAGCAAACGTCGCGATCGTCAAAGCCCGACGAGCTGCATTGCCGGGAAATTAACTCGAGCAGGAAGATCGGTTGTTAGTCGACATTATGGCGGCAATTCGCACGCTCGGATGAATCCGCGACAGAATGTGCGAACGGAGAGAGAGAGAGAGAGAGAGCCGGAAAAGAGGCGAGGATAAGATAGCGGAGTACGGTGAATCTGTTATTTACCGAGAGTTAAGTGTGCTCAGTGCCCCTCTGCCCGGTTCTGCTAACTTGCCAGGGTTGAGTATCTCCGAGTTGTCCGCTGGTGCTCGTACCGCGCGCGCTAAGCAGCGTATCAGCAGTGCCATTGTCTATGCTCATTGTCGCCCTCCTCCCTTTCTCGTTTACTCGGTGTAACGTTAACTCGAGGGGCATCGCCAGCGGACGCAGCAAATTAGAAGTCGCGTTAATCGGTTCCTTAGCTTCTTGCGCTCGCAGTTCTACGTAACACGAAATACGTAGACGGAACAGGGCTGGCGCAGCAAGATCGAATGTCTCGGAGGATACGTAAGGGAGTTTCGGAGTTTTATTTCACGAAGAGATTCGTTTTCCTCGACGATTCAACTTTACTTCTGGCGCAACGCAAGGAACGAGCGCGATTCGAATTTTTCCAAGCATAATTCCGTCGTACACTTGAGGGGGTAGGTACTCTACCATCGCAGCGGGTTCGATCGATTCGCTTCGTTGTGAAAACGGGACGAAGGAGAAGATGGGTGGAGCAACGTGTTCATAAACTGCGCCAGCGAGACGGTCTTTGTCGTCGATTTCGTGGGAGATTCAGCGGAATCAGACACGAAACAGGTCGGTCCGCGTGGAAAATTTCACGTTGTTCCGGGAGTCGGGCGCCGGGCGGCGCGAATCTTCGGGAGAGAGGAAGATTTCATGGCGGAGGCTCGGAAGGGAGGACAGGACCGACGTAGGCAGGCACCGAGGGCTTACGCTTTATTGCGTATTTACATATTTTCGCCGAATCCCCTCGACGTTTCATAAAATTCAACGTCTTTACAAGGGTCGGCGCGATGGCGCTCCCAGGACGCTTCGTCGACACTTTATGCCTTTGAATTTCCGCGACAAAGATTTCTCCCCTTTGCTGGCAGTTCGTCTCGTGAACGCGAGTCGTTCGCGTTCCCCTTATTTTTCGTGCGGATCGTTTGAACAGAGCGACGAAGCTGTTGGTACTTGAAAAAAGACAGGGTCTCTCCGAGATTTCGGTGAATTTCATTTCCTCTCTCATTAGCGTAAATCACGTTCCGTAATTGTAATTACACGTATGTAGTGTTTTCTGGCCGTTGTCGCTGACTCCACCAATCGTTTTCGAAAATTTCATCGGGCGTTCAAATATGACTCGTTCCTTTCTCATAATCGAATAGGATTTCCAGAATTGAAGAAGCACGAGGAGAAGGGGGCGAAAACAAAGCCGAACAAAAGCGGAGAGAACTCGTCGGCTCGAATCGTGCTTTGTCCCGATCGAACGGGACGAACCGGAGCATTTCTCGCGGCGGAAACGCCACGAGCAGAAGTTTTCGCGGGTTTCGCACCGCAGGGATTAAACTCGGAGCGATTCGAAAGATCCTAGAGCGAGGAACGAATCGGGATCGTAGAGAAGCTGCCGGCGAGAACTAGAAACGGAGTCTCGCGTGCCGTACCACCGTAAAGCCGAACCGCGTAAAATTAATTAGGACGTTTACGAGCGTTTCGATTCGAACCACCCGCCTCACTCCGTCGTGGCTGGATCCTCGTAAAGTTCGACGAAAGGCTAGATTAACTGGCCCCGTCTGCAATCGTCTCGAGTTCTCTCTCGCGGAGCGTGAGAAAAAATAAAAGGATAATAAGCACTTGCAGCTGGTGTCGCCGAATGAAACGTTAATCTGTTTCCGGAGGAATTTTCGAAGGACAGTAAAAAATTTATTTCTCGGATGGGGGCCGCCGGCGTTCGAATTCTCTCGTAATCGTTCGACAAAACGATCGCAGCTGCGATCGCAAATTCCACGTTGCCCGCGTAATCGTAGGAGTAATCGTAGTTGCAGGCAAGCAGGCTAATTGAGAGCTTGGTCCCTGGAGAGTAAAACGAATCGCTTAACTTACCCCACTTCCGTTTCCTCTCCTCTCCTCTCGAGATTCCCCCTCGGGCAACAGTGGCGCGCTTAAAGCGTAACGACGTCGCCTCGAAATTATTAATAGCGCCTTATCCCTCGGGAACTCCATTGTTGTCCGAGGTCTAGTCCCTCTCCGGCCCGTCTAGTGGGTGACGACCCGACGACTACCTGCGTCAATAGCGCGAAACTCTGCCGATGCCTGGATGATTTCCAAGGGGAAAACACGGGGAACGCGTATATGGGGGTAACGAACCCTCACGGGGGATACCCACGATTGCGTTCGCTCGCGCACACTCGTCAGCGAAATTACCATCTTTGGTTGAAAATATATCTTTTCGTTGCTAACCGTAGATCGAGAGAATCACCACGGAAATTTCGCGATAGGGTTGTACGGCAAGGACGTAAAAGCGTACACTTCAACGCCATCGCGTTCTCACGATGTCACGAAGTCCAACGTTAAACCGAAGCCTCTGTAATCGCGATGTAAACAAGTACGTCGTCGTCCACAGTCTGATATCGAGTCATTGTTTGAGCAGCGGATAAAGGTTCGAGTAAATTTCAAACTAAATTTCGCGAGCACTGTGCCTCCGAGGTTTCTTGGCTTGTTTGTGTTTCGTGGAAGCTTCCAGCAAGGGTCGTGCATAACGCGTCATTACGGGGCTCGCATCGTTTAACTTCGAGCACACATTTATTATCCTGTCTAGAGTTTCGAACGATCGATGCTCCGACTCGAAAGTTCTTCGCAGAGACTATTCTTGAAAATCGATCAACCAACGCACGTACGATTCGATGAATTTTGACTTAACTCTTTTATCTTACCGCAAGTCGCGAACCAAGAAGCTCGTCGATGTATCCACAACTGAGATCTTGGCCGGACTTTCTGGGTATTCCGTCGTCAGGACGTACAGCCTGTCTCGCCGCGACGCAACGCAAGGGGACTCAACGCGAGGCGACGTAACGTTACGTCGCGCTGTGCCGCAGCGTGGATGTCCGACGTCGGTGTTACAGCCTGTGCATTTGCCGTTGCATTGTGCAAAGCCGGCACCCGGCCGCGAGACACTGAGTTACGAGCCACGGAAGGGAGGTCGCGACCACTTCCGGTTGTAATGCAGTTTGCGCAACAATGGGAGCCACAATAGGCCAAGGGAACCGAGGTAACGCCGTTCTCCCCTCGGAGACGTTGCCCTTTGACCGAGGATCAAAGCGTTGCTCCCTCTCGACTCTGTATTATCCTTTAAAGGATGAATCTGATCGACCGGATTTCGCGTGTTACGAAATCTGTTATCGCCCGGAAAATTGTCCTCGATCGCTTCGCGTTCACCGTTGCCCGGCCGCCGAACCGACCCGAATCGCAGGTTTTACGGCGGTTTGAACATCCACCGAGATCTCCCTCGAATTCGGGGATTTTAACAGTATTTTTCGTTACCGTTTGGTATAGTTTACCTTTCCACCGAACCGTAACCGAGCCACGAGATCTCGCAAATGCCGCGAATGATTGCATTAAAACGGATACTGGCGAACGGTGTGTAACTAGGAGTAATATCGCTGCAGTATTCGTATCGCATCTGAACGCGATACGATCGATTCGCTGGCGTTGCCAGAACCTTATCAATGCCGCGTAAATCTGCCTGCAATTATGACGAGACCGTTCGACTAATATTTGGAAATGTTCGTTCCACTAATCAGAGTCGCTTTTAGGAAGAGGCGTCGTTGAATAAAAAAATAGACCGAACGACAGACTGCTGAACTTCGAGCGAACGATCCGTATACAGCAGGTAGGTATGCCTAATCTATGTACGAAAGTTTCGAGGAAAGTTCGATCGTTGCTGGTTAACGAACGCAGGAATGAGCTTTTTTACAGGCGCAGTTGTTTCGCTTATCGACAGGGATAGAGAAATTGTCATCGAATCGGTTCTACTCTTTTCTTCCGCGGGGAAAGGTGAACCGGAAGTAGACGGTGGATGGTAAGTTGGTTCATCGAAGCGCGCGACGAAAAAAGTCAATTCCAACAGACGGAATTCTCGAGCAGCTCGGGGCTGCGCATTCGTACTTTGTTTGCGACGCTCGCGTAAGTTCCAAGCGGAATCAATGGCGAAATAAACGTGGACGACGGACGACAGCGTGAAATTGAATTAATCCTGAATTAAGAAATGGCGCGCGGACCGGGGGGTAAGAGCGAAAGAACCGGGGACGAGGAAGAATTCCGGACGGAAGGCGAATCGCGAGGACGGGACGCGCGAACGAACGAATAGACTTCTTGCGAATGTTCTTCGAAAACTTTAAATATCGTTTGTAAACTCCGACGAAAGTAATTCGCCGGGAAAATAGATGGATTCGGGATTCGTGGTGAGCGGAGAATCGAGTTCTCAGACAGTGAAATAATACCGTATTTTCGCGGACGATTAACACGGGTCCAAAGTTATTCAACCGTTTGATTCGTCATTGGTAGCATTAGGAACGACGATTACCAGAGCGATAATACTCGTCTGGCAAAAGCAGCGACATCAGGGCGAAGAGTAGGCTTTGCAAGCACGTTGCTACGTTACGGACCGACGTTCATAAATTACAAGTTTGTTTCGAAAAGTTTCGACTCTTCTTGCGTCGATAAATAACGCGACGCTGTTAATTAACGACTTCTAATGAAAAACGCTGATCCGTCTTGTCGCCGGAATGGAGGGCGGTTAAGTACTTTGCGCGAACAAGCCGGATGTTAATTAACTTGTTAGCCCGTTAAATTGTATTTTAATTAATAAAGCCTGAAATGTTCCGCGATACAATTCACCGCAACGCAGTCGATCCACCCCTTCGTACTACGCGAACTTCGGTTCGCGTCCGAACGAAAGCAATTACCCGATCCACTCTCGATTAGTGGACGTACGTACGCCGGCCGACGACATATTGATATTTGCTTGTTGCACGCGTCAATACTGTCACTTAACAAGCAAATACCGAAGCTGAGGCGTGCTAGATAGGGGACCGAATCTGCCATCAATGGACGGACCACCACCACGAGCAAACCTTCCGCCTGACACTGCCGACAGCCGTGCTCGTGCGAATCCTATCTGTGGAATGTCTGCTTGTTCCCCAGTGACAACAAGGGCAACCGATTTAACGAACCGTATACAATTTCGGGCGATGTAAAGTTATTAGGGAATCGGCTCGAATCGAGCGAGTACGATAATACGAGGATGCCTATCGAATTAAATACTTAC